ATAACTCCCTTGATTTTCAACCAAACAGGATGGGATTTGGAACATGGATAGATATACTGGACTACTACAAGAAAATATGGTCACCATGCACATGCACACACGTGCATGTTCGTGCGCTGCAATCTGATTGGCTGAAACTTTAACAGCTATAACTCCCTTCGTTTTCAACCAAACGGGATGAGATTTAGAACATAGATAGATGTAACGGACATCTACAAGAAGATATGGTTACCATGCTCATGTATGCACGTGCGTGCATGTGAAATAAGCAAAATCAAAAAAACACTTGAATGAGCGTATCTTTTTAATACTTTTGGATTAAATACTTTAATATTTAGTATATTTAAATATATAGATTGTGTAGACAAGATGATATGGTCATTACGCACATGCATTCACATGCACACGCGTGCAATGCTAAAATTTGAATGAACTTTGTACACTTCTGGGTAAAAGTTGTTAAAGTCTCAAATGCATCGAGTTTGTCTTATTTAATGAAGCTTACAGGGAATATGGCACCAAAAGGGAGTTGGGGAGCGTTTGGGGAACATCTGTAACGGTCCCCGTTACAATTAGCACTAGTTTATCATTAATTTTTACCATGGGCGTTTGTAAAAATAATTATTTCAGAAAAAATCTTCAAGGTTTTAACAATTACATTATAGAAATGTTAATATTTTACTTTAACTCGAGTTGGTTTCTTGCTCTTTCGAAAGGTAAATGTCTGTCTCCTCTCTATTTCCTTTTTCTTGCCGAAATTTCTTGAAATCTCTGAAGGAAGGCAAAGCTCTTGTAGAGAAACTTGCATCTAAAAAGGGTTGAACTGTTTAAGTAGTGATAATTATTAATAAGAGGATTTGTATTACACACAAATCATTTGGACATCCCGTCGAAATTCATTGAAGAAGATGGGGGAACAAGGCGCGCAGAATGCCTATAGCTTAAGATATTAAGAAATATTCATTTTCAGTTTGTGAATTAAATATTAAAATTACGTTCGCATTATTGAAATTTATGAAATTATGAGAAATAAAACTTTTCCGAAAAAAAAAATCATGGAAAAAATTATTCTTTTATTGAAATATTTAAGATAGTATCATATTGCTTTGAGACTAAAGCGCTAACCACTTCGCTACACAGCTCATAATCATTCAAAAGAAACAGGGGCATTTAAATCTTATTTGTGATAGTATGTGTAATTTTAGTACACAAATAATTACAGTCTTCTTTGTAAATTGTAGAGATTTTTAAATATAATATATATTTAAAATTAGATGAAATATCAAATAAAATTTGGATATAATTGATATTTGATTTTTTACTTCATGTCTGTCTCACTATAGGCACTTCGTCCGCCCCCTTTCACTCTTCTTTCTCTCATCCTGCACCCATGCAGAGTTGTCGTTCGTTCCTCTCTCAGACACCTCTGCAATGGGCTCACGTCAAGATTTTTGACATAACGTATAAAACATGATATTTGCAGGATTGTTTCAAATTAAATTAATAGTTCTGGATTGATTTAGTAAAAAATTATCTCAAAACTCGGACATAAGCATAGAAAGTGATTTATAATGTTAAAACAAACGCACTATTTCTCGTGTTTATCACTGTGATATACGCGAGCCAACGACAGAGGTGAATGTATGAGCCAATAGTAGACAATGCTCAACCTGGTGTCCGAGCTAAATTTATTAATCTCTTCACAATGACAATTGTATACAGAGATATGTAAACAATGATGAAAACCAGTTATAGCATGCGTGAGTATGAGCTCGAGGATAGACAAATAGTACAATCATAGAATAGAAAATAGACCATGACTAATTCGGCGAGCATGTTTTAGTAATTTTTCAAATAAATGGATTAACTTTTCATAAATATTAATTCATGAGTTCTGTAGATGTAATAGATGTAATTAAATATTTTCAAACTGTAATTGTTTTTGCGATAAACACTTCTTTCTTGTATCACTGACAAACAGTTTAATATGTAATACTACTGAATTCTTGGCCTATCAAACAGGAACAAGGTTTGTTGACCGAGTTGGCATTATTAAATAAAAGTGTAATTAATGGAAACGGGTTTCACACCCAATCAGGACAAGAGCATTGTGCGAAAAACAAAAATAATCATAATATCAATATTATCACCAGATTATATACTGCATATTTCATAATTAACATCCATTCTCAAATGCATTATTCATATCCCGCAAACTAAAGTACAATGTAGCAGGGATAAACACGTTTTAATTATACTTATTTTTAAAGAAATATAGAAAAGTAACAAATTTATTTTATACCATTGATAACATTGAAAAATACTTAACCATTTATAGCTCTTGTAACATTTTTAAAGCACGGCTATATCTTTGCTTCAGAAAATAAGAATCTTCCAGCAGGTACATGTTCAGGACCACACCTCCCCAAAATTTTGATATTTCCATCATTCACAACCAAATAGATCAAAATATATGCATGATATATATCAATTCTAGACATCATGTTTATTAATCTTTTCTAAAAAGAAATGAAACAAATTCAAAATTCAAGTCCGATTTTTATTTTCTGTCTTTGACAATAATTTGATGTAAGTTTTCTTGTTTCAATACACAATAATTACTGTGCTCATGTCAAACTAGCTGTTAAGTAAACCAAAACCTTTTAGAAATTCGCTCACTTGTTTACCATATGTTTATACCAATCTTCTGCTGCACTTGTTTATTGATGATAAAGTGGGAAACTGGCCTCTCTGCAGGACACCAGGGTGATTACGGAATTAAAGAATGGGGTTAACTTTGTGGCACTGATTTCCGTAATATGACTATCTTGATGCTAAACTGAGAGAGAGAGAGAGAGAGAGAGAAAGAGAGAGAAAGAGAGAGAGAGAGAGAATAACACGATATTGTATCGTTTGGGAGTCGTGCGAGAGTTTGACAATTTGATGTTATGTAACTAAACGCTTCATAAAATGAAGTATTTTATGTATGTGAGAGGATGTGAACAGAGTGTACAGAACTTATGTATACGTTGTGAAAATTAATGTTGTTAATACTTTTAAAATATATTATATAAACACACTCAAATGTATTAGAAACAGGAATCGTCCCATCATACAAGCCCGCTATTAAAGTTCTCCGGGAATTATGCAAAACATATACAAAAACGTGTAAAACTAATAACAACTGTAAACTAGTAATTTAATATTAATAAAATGTACAAAAAATTAACGTATTTGAATACACACTCACCATCTTGTCTTCCCGAAGCCAATTTTTCGCCACAAATTGAGCAAAAGATATCTCTTTGATCATCTGCACCACAAGATTGACAATTATTCATCTTGTAAGTTTGCGTTCAAACATGAATTGTGATGCCATGTATTAAGACAAGGAGCCTCTCAGTGGGATGCTGGGGGCATCACTGATGTAATAAAGGTCAGTAAAGGTCACGCCATGGAAAATTTTCTCTTTATATATAGCGAGTTTTTGTTTATATATATCGCATTTCACTTTATATATATCGAGGTTCTGTTTATATATATCGCATTTCCTTTATATATATCGAGGTTCTGTTTATATATATATCGCATTTCCTTTATATATATCGAGGTTCTGTTTATATATATCGCATTTTCTTTATATATATCGAGGTTCTGTTTATATATATCGCATTTTCTTTATATATAGAGGTTTGCTTATATATATTGCTTTTCCTTGATATATAGAGGTTGGCACTAATGGGCTTCCGTAGGATTGAGCACAAGTTCTGAAAACTTATAATGCCCTCTCCCTATACATTTAAATTACACATTTATATTGTCACAGTTAAACATGCTATATAATGTATTCAGTATTTGCAAAAGTAAACAAATTGATGCATTTTGCATATATGTATAAATATATAAAAAGTTGAACAAATTCATATATTAATATTGGTACAGTATTTAACAAGGAAATCTACCAGAATGCTTAATAAATGTTTGAACAAAAGAAAAGAGACGTTGTCATCAAACCAAAATATTGTTGGTCTTGTATTGGAAAACCTGCTCTCCTTGAAATAGCTGGCCTGCAGTACTGAAGTATTATGATTTTATATACGTCTTTGACCATAATGTTATACAGATCACTTGAAGCAAAAAAATGTGCAATTTACAGCACAAGATTTTTTTTGCTCTGTTGGGAAGAATTTCTCCACTTCCTAGCACTGGTCCACATTCCCAAATTGCAAACACACCCTTAAACCATTCTGTGTATTTTATCCACCTCTCAGCCCTTCGACTCTACAGGCGATAAACTCATTTGTCTTGTATTGTCTGTTGGATTGCAGAAAATTCAAATTAAGTGAGTTTATCACCAGTAGACTTGACTTTAAAGGGTTGGGAGGTGGATAAAATACACAGATTGGTTAAGAAGGGATTGAAAGGTAGTTGATTGACCAATGCTGGGAAGTGGAGAAATTCTCCCCAACAGTGCACAAAAATGTGCAATTTATGGGGTGCGAATTTTTGTGCACTGTTGGGGAGAATTTCTTGCGCATAAATTGCACTTTTTTTATCTGTAATGTTATGGTCAAAGACTAATATATATAAAACCAGAGTGCCACAGTTCTGCAGCTACTCTCCAAAATGAAAAGAGGAACATGACATTTAGAAGGATTGTTTCAGATAGATCACCTGCAAATACAGTTAATGTCTTCCAGTTGATTTGATAGGCAAGAGTGTGCTCTACATACGATGCATTTCTTTAACTAGGCAAGCTATTGCCAAACAAGTTGACGAAACAGAAATATCAACTGTCTTATTTAAAGTCAGAATTTAGCAACTTAAATCAAATGCTGACTTGTTTTTCATACAAATTGTAAGGCCATTATTTACAAATCTAAATTTCTACAGAATTACCAGTTTGCCCAATCAAGGCATGTGTGACGGGTTGACAAGGAATGCTTACTTGTCTTTGGCACAATCTGTTCTTCATTTTTCTTTGTCATCAACACACTACAAAGCTTTTTTCTATTTATTGGTAAGCTTCTCAGCTACATACAGTTCAGTGTTAAATGGGACAGTGATGTCATCAGTTCCTTTGGCTAAACTATGTTTATCCATAACTGCTTCCATCTCACTTCTGACTTTTAATTTCTCGTTTTCATCAAGGGAAGCAATGACACTTATGGAGCAGAAATGTCCAAGTACATCATTCCGACACCCCTAAAAAGTTTTGTATTTATAATCAACAATATAAACTCTACTTTTGTAGACCTTTTCTATGTCAATTCATAGTTTCATTAGAAATTATTGTTTTTAATAGTATATTCTAAAGATAAAGGAGAAACATTCAATGTACAAAGATGAACTATATGCATATTATAGGTACATGAATACATAAATGGTTCTCAGGTTTAGCTAGAAAAAATGGCATATGGAACTAAAATGATTTGACTGTTTTAAGTACCATGTATTTCTTGAGCTATTAAAACACATTACTTTTCTCACCTTTAACAGTGTGCCAGGTAAGATTTCATGTCGCACACAGCGGAAATGAGGACATTTTTCTATCACTTCCTTCCATTGATAAGATACAGCTCGTGGTGTGTCGCCATAGTAACGTGTTAGGATTCCCTCCATGTCCTTAACCCACGGAACTTTCCAGTCTTTGTTATTCCACACCATTACTGTCAACAAAATTCAGGAAGGACTTCTGATGTCAATATGTCATGATTCTTCCATTTATAGTGATTTACATTGATTTTCAAAAACTTTGTGTTAAATTCTCACAAGTTTACAATTTTGAAAGAAGTCCTTTAAGACTCAAAAATTGAGTCTGGTCTCATATATTGACTTCAAGTGAAGTTTATAGGAATATAAATTAAATAAAATCTATTTTAGCAGACATAATGACTTATCTACTCTTTGATTATCACATGTACACTACATCTACAATGAGCAATTCATATGTCCATTATACAAATTGTATGTTCCTACAGAATTTTCCGCCTGGAATAAGAATCCTATTTATTTCATCTAATGACGTCGTATTAGCGAACCAATGGAAACACTGGGCAGCTAGTACAGTCTGAAAGAGATAAAAAGAAACACAATCACCAACATAATTTAAAAACTAGCAAACTTTTATAAAATTCATCAAAGACTTACTGATTAGTAAATAAAAACTACCTTCACACATTCAGATGGAACTGGAATTTTTTCTGCAGTGCATATTTGAGTGTCTATTCCAGGACAATTCTGTTTTAACATCTTTTGAAATCCATCCATGGGCTCTGTAGCTAAATATTTTTCAACCTGAAAAGAATTCAGAAAAAAATTAAATAATATTTAAAGGAAAATGTCAAGTCCTTTTCAAATATTTGTCAAATGTCATTGCTGTAGAGTGGAATTACTATTTGTTTGTTGTTTATGTTTAATGGGAATTTTTTCTCTCTCTTTTGATTGTAGAACTGTGCTGCATTTCAAAACTACTAAACATTCAATTTGTTGTGAATTGTTGCAATTCTACATAACCTTCAGTTCAAGAAATATTTTTTTCAATTATCTTGCCACTGGCTATAGGGTTTTGATTTGGGTTTGATAAAACTGGACTATCTGCATGGGAAAATTGTAACAATCTTTGCATCTTCAAAGTTTACATTCAGACTACAACGTGAACATAAGTATGTACCTTTGGTAACTCTTTAATTAATTTCTGTGTTAATTTCCCTGTCCCTGCTCCAAGTTCCACACAATCATACTTTACATTATCCTCTGTAAATTAAACAAAAATGTGTACATGTAGTACATGTATGGAACAATTGCAGAATTCTATTGAACCAAAAGTATTAAAAATCATTTTAAAGATGTTATATGCCGGCTTCCATTCAGAAACACATGCCATTCCATTAAAAACGTGATGAAACCTAGGTGATCTTATTGTAATTTAATGTATCATTGAGTCATTGACTGCAGAACGAAACTAGAGGTATTGTGAGCAATGAGCTCACTAAATGATACTCCTGCCTCCCAAATGGCTATAATGGCAAAGTCCGTGTTTTGCTCTGGGAGACCCAAAATATGTGTCGGATCAAAAAGTAAAATAGTAGGTGCAAAATGGCATTATGTAATAAAGAATCTGTGAAAGTATCATTCATTTATAGGAGAAGTTGTGGATAAGTGATGGATACCCTTCAATAATTATAGATTTTGTTTCAAATGTAAAACTCTTGTTGAAGATGAAAAACACTTTTTACTTGATTGTCCTGTGTATAAAAATGTCAGGAAAAAGTATTCAAGGTTACTAGATGTTAATAACTTATCCTGTTTGCTTAATCCACATAACTTTGTATCTATGTTACGAAACAAATCTGTCTATATATCAGAGACTGTTTTGATATTAGAAACAAGCTTACAATAGTATAATATCTTGCAATACATGTATATGGCTAACAACCCATTCCTGTATATAAATATGTGCTTCAGTGCCAATAAAGAATTGAAATTGAAATATTAAAATTAATTATTAAAGGGTATCTATCTCTTATTCGCAACTTCTCCAAAAAATTATTATACTTTTACATAGAGAGAATGGCTATGTCCAGGTTTTGTTCTCAAAATATGTGTCCGATCAAAAAGTAAAAGAGGAGGTCACAATGGCACTATGTAACAAAGATTCTTTGAAAGTCTCAGTGAATTTCATTCAGTGGTACAAGAGGAGTTGCGGATAAGAGACGGTTCTCCAAAGCATTTAAGTGGAACAGACAGACGTACAGACAGACAGAAAGAGGGAAGGATGGACTGACGTAAAGACAGATGGACATCCCAACCACTACATACCCTCCTGCTGTTTAAGTGGGGTGGGGTGGGGGTGGGTATAATTCAAGAATGTTATACCTTTATCTGTTTGAGTTTCTGTGATGATTGAGGATATCAACTTTACAACTTCATCTGTGTAAGAGGGGCGGAATCTGTCATAATTTTCTCCCTAAAATATAATGTTTTGTTTGTTAAAAACATATCTTAATTAATTTACATCATGAGTACATGTATATCCTTAATTAAATCTTCTACTGGGGTCACCTCAGACCAGTGGTTTCCAGTTAGTAGATTTACTTGGTGTCATTAATTCAAGATGTGCATAAGTATAACAAGATTGTTTTTGCCACCGTGCATTGGTGCCAAAACGGAAAAAGTAAAGGAGATTGAGCAGTTTTACTCCATGCAATAATACATATTTATATGAAAGTTTCACATCCTTACATCAACAAATCCCGATTTCGCCGTGTCGTGAACAGCTTCTGTCATGTTCCAGTATATGCCTGGGTGAGTGAATCGAATATTCTTAATTTGTTTATAACTGTGAAACAAAAAGTAGGTTTGTCGGTGTCTAATCATACTCATAGTACGTGGTTTCACGTGGGAAAATAAATCGGGCTCGAGATACCAAAATAATAAAAACATTTGTTTGGACGAGTGGTTTGGTAATTGGTAGGTAACTTAATTAACTATTTAGTTAATTTACCTAATTAATAAGTACCTGGATACTAATAATATTATATTATGTTTATACTTTTTGACTGTGAACATAATTTGGCGAGGTTTAAATAGAGTCTAATGTGGTTAATTTTAATGTATTGCAATAAATACCATAACCAGTTGATAAACAGTTGGACAAGTGAATAGAGAACTATTTCTTTTAATCTTAAACATATGCATATATATATCCACAAAGATATTTTAAAAATTCCCTATAGATAAATTATAGCCAAACTAGGGCCTTTGTAAATAGGAACTCAGATAAACAGAATAATTAGGCCTGATATTTTGAAATGAATTAATGCATATTTCTCTTACTTCAATTTATAACAAACACTCTTACTTCAGTTTATTAACTAACTGGTCATGGTACAGTTGTGTGTCAAAAGTGAAGATAATTTTATTTTTTCTTTATATATTTCATTAAAAACAATATTTTGTAAAATCGCTGGTATGACAACATTTCTTGACAGATTTTATCAAAAATTTCTTGATAATCCAAGAAATTGTTGTAGTTAAAAAAAAAAGTTTTTATCTGATAAGCAATGATAATTTAAAAATATTGTAATTTAAGTGTGACATGAATTTTTAAGTCATATACTCACAATGAATTAGATAGTCAACATTGATCTTAAATTTTAGAACTGATGTTTAGTGATGAACTATATTTTACTACATATTAAACGTGGAATGATCTTTTAAAGAAAGATAACTACACATTTTCTGGTTTAAGTACTGAAATAAATAATTAGATTGGACAAAAATTGACCATTTACCTATGATTTTACAAAATGTTGTTTTCAATGAAATATATAGAGAAAAAATAAAATTATCTTCACTTTTGGCACGCCACTGTAGCTTAGTGGTAGAGTGTTCACTTCATGATCGTTAGTCCTGGGTTTGATTCTCGTTCGTGGCGCAGCATCAAACTTAAGACGTAAACATAGGTAGTGACTGTTCCTTAGCTAAACGCTTGGCATTAGAAGTGAAAGTCATGGGTGTTTTGAATATGACCTTAAAAACGTAGGTCCCATGTTGCCATAGGTATTGGCATGTTGAAGAACCCCACTGCTCAATGGCCCTGAGTGCGGAGTATAGGTCCAAATTTGAAGCCCTTCACTGGCATACGGTGACATCTTCATATGAGTGAAAAATTCTCGAGAGGGACGTTAGACAACATACAATCAATCAATCAATTTATTAACATGTTTTGAGACAGGTTCATTGATTCTAAATCATTGATTATCCCACTGTTCACTCAGGAAGCAGGGCTCTCGATTCTCTAAAATTGGGGCCGTTCAACGGCCCCGTTCCCAATGCAAAAAAAATACTTTTTTCCCAAAAGAAAGATGTAAATTTCCCAATTTTCATAGCAAAATATTAATTAAAAAATAAAAGTCCATGAAACTTAATCGCAAAAAAAAAAAACCCAAACAAAACACACTTGAAAATGAAAGTGAAACTGTACCACTATTTTATTAGTTCGCACAAATGCATTTAAAAGTTCGGGGAACCAGGTTATTGTTTTTACCGAAATGTTTACTATGAGTTCAGAGTATCTTGTCATGTAGTTTCGACAAAAAAACGTCATTTTGTTTTCAAAAAAAGACATTTCACTTAAATATTAGTAAGCTGCACGTAGAAACAAACCCATGCACGCTTTGGCATGATCAGTCTCGCGCTGTATTGGTAAGCAACTTTGTCCATGTGATCGAGGAAATTCGGGACAATGTGACTAGCGACTGTCACTCAGAATGACAGATAACCACAATATCAACACTCAAAGACAGTAATGACAAAGCTAATGTACTTTCATAAATAGCCTACGTACCCATGTTTGATCTGTATTCAAAACCAGAGTTAAATAGATGACAAAATGCTAGAAAAGCAAAATTTGAGGATTTTTTAAAATGAATTTTGGTTATCCAACTTTTCCCAAAATGATGGTAATTTTCCCAACTTGAACGGCCCCGGCCCCAGTCCCAAAAAGTGGTGTGAGAGCCCTGGGAAATAAAACTTTTTTTAAACACATTATTTTTTAAAAGAATTCCAGTTTATTAAAGTTGAGCATAACTCCTTGGAAATATTCATTCCTTTTGTAACAGAGTTGAAAGTGGCCAGGTGTTGTACATGTAAATAGTGAGGCCACGCTCCTACTAGCACTAGCTAGTGGGTTAACCCTTTAGCTCAGTCGTTAGAGCGTTGGATTTTAAATCTGATGGTTGCAGGTTTGAGCCACAGTACGTACACCCCCCAGCTAATTGGTCATACTTTTAAAATACTTATTTACCCAGACTGCAAATTGCATGGACATACAAATTCATAAAATTGAAACAACAATATTATAGAATTGTATCTATTCTTGAAAGAGAAATTATTATGTCGTAAATTATGATTCCGTAAAATTTTATTGATCCTTTACTCACATGGGAGCTTTTTTTTTTTTATTATTTTATACTTTGATTGATTAGACTTTGATTGTGTTGCTTTTCCTGAAAAAATTGACCAACTGAATAAAAGTGGTTGGATTCAAGACTTTTTTATTACATTCCAGGTTTTTTAATGAATCTTAATTGAAGGCCAAGGTATTACATGTATGAGCCTCATCTGTGACTGTCAAATAAGCATGCATGTAGTGTATTGATAAATTTAGAAATCAATCCAGTTAAGGGAACCTTAGGGAATATGAAAAGCTCTGAGCTTCCATGTAACACAATGAGTGTTTTAAGAATTACATTTTCTATACCTTCTTTGTATAATACAGATTAGGACAAATGGGACAAGTTTAATGGTGTTGTATTGTGATAAAATCAAAATTTCAGTCTCATTTGAAAATTTATTTGAAGTGAAAGCTCTAGATTAAGATATAAAAAATAAATTATTTCTTCGAATAAGATGCATGAAGCTGTCGTCCACTGTTAGTCACATATATCACTACATCATATTATCTGTTATATGAACATATCACATATCACAGTCAGAAAAACTCATGTGTACATATATAGTTGAATTATGTGATTTGTTTGTTTATTTGTATGAATGTTCTGATAAATTTTCTGATATTCCTGTTTAGTCCCTACATATACATGTATGTGGCATATATGTGAGCTTATACATGTTCTGGAGTACATAGATATAGAAGTCTTTTATGTACATGTACTTCTATTTATGATCTTAAAATCAGCCTTCAAGGAATATAAGGGTTATACTATAGAACATGAGAAGGTCACATCATTTTCCCTTTGAAGCTAAGATAATACTGTAACATGATTATGAGTACTTCTTTACTGTGCTCAAAGGAATTAACATGTTTTCATTTAAATTTACACATAAGAAATAAATACATCTATTGAAAAGTAAACACAAATTTTATTTCACAAACCCTAAACATTTTATATTGATATTCAATGAGGCATGACCAGGTATATTCCATTACCAGGATATACCTTTGCAGGTAACTGATGTATCGCCTATGTTGACGAAAAGTTCAACAGATATCAAGATAATTCTCTGTTCCTCAGGCATTCATGCTTCAAAATGAGCTGGTAGCTCAGTGTATTGCCATGCATGATTTGAAACTCTATATTTAGTTTTCTTTTTTCAGGTAGTTAAACAGATAGGCAGTCTAAGTAAACAAAGTCTTAATAATTGGCCATGTTGACGTTTAAACTCTGACGTAAAGGAAGCGGGGGAGAGAGGGGCCGCAAAGATAAGAGAAATCGTAAGTATAATGGGCAAAGGGATTTAAAGGGGTGCACAATAGGTATTGTAGAACATTTTGTGTGCTTATGGCTTTACCTGTATTAAAGATACCCCAAATTCTAATTTTAAGGTCGCCTGAGAAAGGTCTCTATTAGCTATCACAATGCCAATTCTTATTTAACACATTTCATAATCTTGAACCATTTTCTTACCTGTGGGAACCTTCGAGGCATTTAAATTCGTGCACATTAGAAAAATAAATGACAATGAAAGAATAAGATTTGTACTCTCAGTGTTTCTACATTTTATGATAGGAAGTTTATTGGATGACATTAGGCTGCCACGTCTACATGGGAAATTAAACAATAGTTAAAACTGAACTACTGTTGGAGTATTTGAAAGTGCTTTTTTTAGTGTTTTTGGAGTAAAATATTTTCTACTTGCAAAATTTCAGTGATTTTTAAGTGAAAGTAATTTTTCGGGTCTGTTTACCATATGGAAAAATTAAAATGTGGATTATTTGACAATAATGTCCCAAGCGGATTCAGGTACTAAAATTCAAAGTAAAAAATAAATATTGAGACATCTAGGGTATATTAGTTCAAATTAAAACAAAAAAAAGTAAGGCTAAGACTGGTAAATGGTAAAGCTACATAGCTGGACACATTTTAATGTTTTGTTTTGTATTTCAATTTTTCACTGCAGTTTATATCCAGAATTTATGCTCAAAATTTTCAACATTTGATATTTATTTTCATAAAAAAAATTTCCAACATTTTTTATTTGAATTTTCTCAATTATTTTTTTTAATTTCATGTATAACAAGTACAAGTGAAGGAGACCAATGTGTTAATTTTTTTCTAGTTGAATTTTTAGGTCACCTGAGTAAACTCAGGTGACCTATTGCTATCCGTTTTCGTCCGTCGTCGTCCGTCGTGTGTCGTGTGTTAACATTTGAACATTTTCAGCTTCTTCTCTGCAACCACTGAACCAATTTCAACCAAATTTGGCACAAAGCATCTATGGGTGAAGGGGAACAAAAATTGTGAATTTCATGATCCCTGCCCCCCTGGGGCCTGAGGGGTGGGGCCAAGACCACTAAAATTAATGCAATCTTTAAAAATCTTCTTCTTTACTCCTGGACATCAAGCAGTCAAACTATTTGCATGATTGTAATCAGCATTGAGTCCTCTACCAAAATTGTGAAATTCATGGCCCTGGGGTCAGGGGTTCTAGTGCTAGGGCGAGGCTAAATAAGTATATAGTGAAAATGCATTATTTCTTTGAAAATCTTCTTCTCTGCTCCTGGGTATTAAATAAACCAACTAAGTACATAGTTATGATGAGCAAGAGTGCCTCTACCAAAATTGTGAATTTTATGGCCCCAGGGTCAGGGGTTCTGGTGTTAGGGTGGGGCTCTATTGATTATATAGTAAAAATACATGATTTCTTTGAAAATCTTCTTCTCTGCCCCTGGGTATTAAATAAACCAAGTAAGTAAATAGTTATGATGAGCAAGAGTGCCTCTACCAAAATTGTGAATTTTATGGCCCCAGGGTCAAGGGTTCTGGTGTTGGGGGGGGGGCTCTATTGATTATAAAGTGAAAATACATGAAATCTTTGAAAATCTTCTTCTCTGCTCCTAGGTATTAAATAAACTAACTAAGTACGTAGTTATGATAAGCAAGTGTTCCTCAACCAAGATTGTGAATTTTATGGCCCCAGGGTCAAGGGTTCTGGTGTGTGGGGGGGAGGGCTCTATTGATTATATAGTGAAAATATGTGAATTCCTTGAAAATCTTCTTCTCTGCTCCTAGGTATTATATAAACTAAATAAGTGCATAGTTATGATGAGCAAGAGTGCCTCACACAATATTGTGAATTTAATGGCCATATCATCAAGGGTTCTGGTGTTGGGGGGGGGGGGGCTCGATTGATTATATAGTGAAATTACATGAATTCTTTGAAAATCTTTTTCTCTGCTCCTAGGTATTAAATAAATTAATTAAGTGCATAGTGACGATGAGCAAGAGTGCCTCAACCAAAATTGTGAATTTTATGGCCCCAGGGTCAAGGGTTCTGGTGTTGGAGGGGGGGGGGGGCTCTATTGATCATATGGTGAAAATACATGAATTCTTTGAAAATCTTCTTCTCTGCTCCTAGGTATCAAATAAAGTAACTAAGTGCATAGTTATGATGAGCAAGAGTGCCTCTACAAAAATTGTGAATTTTATGGCTCCAGCGTCAATGGTTCTTTGGGGGGGGTTTATTGATTATAAAGTGAAAATACATGAATTCTTTGAAAATCTTCTTCTCTGCTCCTAGGTATTAAATAAACTAAGTAAGTGCATAGTTATGATGAGCAAGAATGCCTCTTCTAAAATTATGAATTTCATTGCCCCAGGGTCTGGGGTTCTGGTGTTAGGGTGGGGCTCTATTGATTATATAGTGAAAATACATTAAATTTTTGAAAATTTTCTTCTCTGTCTCTGGGTATGAAGCAGATGAACTACCTATATAGTTATGATGAGCAAGGTCCCTAATCTTGCAGAATTGTGGATTTCAATGCCCCAGGGTCAGGGGGGGCTCTACTTATATACTGAAAATGAATTGTTTGAAATCTGGTCCTTTGTATTTATAAAACATTTATTTACTTTTTGATAGGCAATTTTAAGGGTGCCTTTTAAAAGTTTGTGCAACCTAGGGTCAGGGGTTTATGTCAGAGTGTTAGGGGCACTACTGATTATTGATGAATATTACTGATTAGTTGGAATGCATTTTTGTTCTCCTACCCTGCATATGGGTATTCAGTAACCAAGCTAAGCAACTGCTAAGTTTATTGTTATGATGATCAATGGTGCCCTTTCAAAATTGTGAATGCCATATAGCATCTGGCTTAAAACATGAATCAAATTCAATACACTGTAACTGGAAAGTTGTTGCATAATGCTCAGGTGACCTATAAGGCCGTGGGGCTCTTGTTAAATTATTGTTTTAAAAATGAGTTGTGTTTATATGACAGGATGTATGTTAGAGTAATGTGGGTCCTACTCCTACTGGCTCTGGTGGCGTGTTCAGCACTTCCTGTCACATCCGAGGAAGGGGAGTCGGACTACCTTAACCTATTCCTAGTGAAGGTCCACAAAAGGTCAGCCATCCATGACCTGGCGGCTGAGCATGGGTTCAAGGTCACAGATGAGGTGAGTGGCTACATCTTTTACAAAGTGGAATATTAATTGTATTGTCAAGTTAAAAACAGTATTATTATTTTGATTACCTTTACGGTAATTGATACTTTTTTTTTTATTGCAAATCTATATATTTTAGACATACATTAATTATCAGATGAAGAGTAAGATATAGAAAATAATTTTGTAATTAGTGAATGGAAAAGGGCTGAGAAAAAAATGCCAGACTCTGTTGTAGTCCATTTAAGACATTTTGGAATAGTCAAAAGAAGCACAAAATCCAGTTATCAAATATCAAATATTGAAAAAAAGATTTAAATTGCTAACTAAAATTACTTCAATATATATATCCTGTTCTATTTGCAGTCAATGGCAATTAATGTTAACTCTTACGTTTCAGTAAAGTAGTTGACCTTTAAAGCAGGATTGATTTTTTTCCTTCTTTATGCATATTCTTTTTTCTGCCTTAGTTACAAAATACAACTTATTTCAATCTTGCTTGATGAAAAAAAATTATATAACAAAGATTCTTTCAAAAGTAGAATAGGATTTATGATTGCAAAGATCTGCCAAAAATAAGATAAACTTGTGGTTTGAATCCCTTTATTATGAAATTTTAATTTTAATGTGGTTTGAGTCCCTTTATTATGAAATTTTAGTTGCCATTAGATATTATTAAGCTGCAAAGGAGTTTGAATTGAAATACATGTACAGTGTATGTGCATTGTAACCATAAACTTTTTCTAATTAATGTTTCTTTAGCAATTAATTCTATGATAATTTTAAGTGAAAGTTTTGTGAGAAGGAATGCTGTGTTTTTAGTTCATTCTGAAGTGTTTATAATGCTCTATTATTGTTGTTATTAGCTAGAAGAACTGGGTTACCATTTATTGGAACATGAGGAAGTGTCACGGAGATCCAAAAGAAGTGCTGAAAATCATGTTAAAAAACTAAAGGAGGATTCTAGAGTAAGCTGATCAGTTATCCATAATTCTGATTTAATGCTTATAAATGAAAGAGACTTGTACTCAAGTTATTTTGGTAAAGCACAATTTGATTTGCTAATGCGCTAATGTTTGAGACAGTAAAATGGAGCAATAACGAGAATTAATTCTTTTTATTGCGACGTCATAATACTTGTATAGTGATGCTCCATGATATATATATATTGCATAGAAAGTCAACAAAATAAGATGTAGACTTAAAACATAATGCAAAGTTTGCATTAGAATGGGAATAATAATCATGTAATTTAATATTTGTTACTGTTTATGCTGATTTAATGGTCGCGAACATCTGTTTGACTGGCTCTACCTAAGCATCACCGATACATGTAAAACTCAGTTTGCAGCCATTAAATCGGCATTAACGGGTACATAAACCAAATTTGTAGAAGAAAGTTATTTCCTAAATCATATTCTTGGCAATTAAGCCATCTTATCTTGATTTATCCAGCAAATAATTCATAAAATTTTTCTTAAAGAAAATTAATTGAAACTTCATATAATTTTTTGCCATTTATTGATATAGAGTTATTGAAACACATAAAATTATTTTTGTTTCAGGTGAAGTTTGTCCAGCAGCAGAAGCTGTTGGTTCGTGAGAAGAGAGAGATCTTGTATGACAAACAACTGGAGATGCCAGAGCGTAACTTTGACCCCTCAGAGTTTTACCGGGCCCCCCAGTCCCACCTGTACAGTAGGGACTTCACTAGCACCCAGGGGGTGTCCTTTAATGACCCCTACTATAAAGACCAGTGGTATTGTGTAAGTCCCCCCCCCCCCCCCCCTCCAAGTCTGATTTATCTACAACAAATTACGCTTAATTAGAGAGTCATGAATGAACAATTTTAATTCAATATGAATGTAAAATTTTATTTGTGTTAAGTTCATATGTCTCAAAACTACATGGAATAAAAATTATCTTGCTGTAAGCATTAATTCAATATAAGCATGTTTGCCTTAATAATTTTTACTGCGAAGCCACTTTATGTTTCATAAGAATTTTGTTTGATTTATGTGACAATTTGAATACTCCATGTAGATCTGCTTAAAAATAAGTAACTCGATCAGCTTTAATTGTGATAATCTTTTGTGTATTCTATACTTAACGTATTTTTTTAGGACAATTATGGGCAGTCTGGTGGAAAGAAATTTATTGACCTCAATGTCAAGGTCGCGTGGAACCAAGGTTACACTGGTAAAGGGGTCACAATCACCGTGTTAGACGACGGCGTGGATCATAGCCACCCAGATCTTCAGAGGAACTATGTGAGTCTTAAACATAACAGATGAGTTAGCTTTAAGTTTGCAATATACATGTATCATAAACTGGGATGTATATGCATGTATATTGTGGAATATTGTGAGAATGAGTGGGCATTGTGTTATATATCACAAAGAAGCTAATTATTTGCTGAATACGAAGCTCCTTGTATAAAAAAAAATCATACAAGTTTAAGTTAAATACACTGTATGTGAAAAGAGTTGTCAATGAAGTTCTTTGCAAGAAAATTTATCAAAAACAGAGTTACTTGAAGGTGCAAGTATTTTGAGAATGTGAAAAATATTCTCATAATTGTTTTTTTCAGTCTCCTTTTGCAAGTGCTGACTTAAATGATAAAAGTGATAAGAACAACGACCCTATGCCAAACACCAAAGTTCCAGGAAATAGGTCAGTTCTGTATAACAAACAAAGATAGTAAAGGATAGAATCATATCAAAGATATTAATTACCAAAGAAATTATTTAGAAATTGTCATTAAATGTCATACATATTTAATTGCTTCATTTAATGTAAATAATTTAAACTTCATTTCTACAATTTAATGCCAGCCTGTGGAAAGGTAATGTATATACATATCAAGAGGATCTGTTCTGTAAAAACAAAAGTACATATAAAGCATGCTGAATCACAGATGGTCATGTATTGTAAAGTTGTGCATGGTCATGGAGACTATATTGTACATGAAAGCAATGCTTCTCATTTTATGTCAAACAACATGGGAAAGAAACCAAGACTGTCAGAGTGCTTCCCAATCAAGTTGTTTATTTGTGTCTAGTTCTGCTTTGGATGTTTTGAAATAAGCATGCTTTGTTATCCTTATGCTGTTTTATTTTATTTTTTTTCTCTTGAATTTTATTTCGATTTGTTTTTAAGAAAATTTCTACCAATTTATGTCAATGCTGCATTTGTATTAATATAGCATGTTTAGTGTACAGTGTAATGTTCTTGAAATTTGAGAAAGATTTCAATTGATAATGAACCAAGTAAAGCTTATCAACCTGTAGATTATGATTATATGGAATCCCAAAATATAAAGATAACATTGAAGTTCCATAGAAGTACAAAGTCCATTTATTTTTTAAATTGTATGTACATGTATTACATTTATGAAAACATTAGACTGCCAACTATATATATAAGTTAACTTTTAAAAACAAAATTATTAATTAACATTACTGTTATTTTCAGTCATGGAACACGCTGTGCTGGGGAGATTGCAGCTGAAGCCAACAATAATGTTTGTAGTGTGGGCGTGGCTTATAATGCCAAAGTAGGAGGTAAGCTGTCAATCAGAGTATGATTATATTTACCAGTAAGTTTTATCGGAAAAATTTATTTGTAAAATTCAACTTATTTGATGTCTTAATGGAACTGAGCTATTCACAATGTGGCAAATCTTGGAAGAATTCTATGGAAACAGATGAATTGTTAATAAATATCTTCATTTATTTAGAAATTTACTAATCAATCTTTAGCATATTACCTAAATCAGCCTATTAATTTGCAAAAGAAAAAATGATTTGATACTCCTTTTCCTATAAATTTGCTCTGCCTGTTTTCAGGTGTGCGTATGTTGGACGGAGCTGTGTATGATACGATAGAGGCCAAGGCAGTCAACTTTAAGAACCAGTTTATTGATATAATGAGTGCCTCCTGGGGACCAAGGGATGATGGACGAACACTGGAGGGCCCAGGCCCCGCGACCTTAGATGCTCTGGAGGCAGGGGTCAACAAGGTAAAAAATTAACAAAATAAACGAACACTTTTACTAAATCTAAAATGCAAATTTTCTTTATAATCATTATAATTTTTTGATTAATGTAATACATAATTATGTTTTTTAAAACAAAAATTGAAAAAAAAAATCACTTAATCAACAAGTGAATTTTAAAAATTATTGAAGAGTTTAATGAAAGTGCAAAACCCTTTAAATTTATTGACATTTATGACAGTTGTACTTTCCAATGAGTTTCCAAACTTTTAGTTATCCCATGTTTAACCCTTTATGATGATATAAATGATGTCGGAAAACGTCACAATGGGTTTTGCGTTAGAGTGATGAAGTAAAATGAAGTGGAGTCCTATATAAAATAAGTGTTAAACATTGACTGTGGTGTACAAAACATGGGATAAAAAGAATCTCACATGATTCGTGGTTAGATATGATTTTTATCCAAATCGTGTGTTTTTATCCCCTTGCCAAGGCTCGGGGATATAAAACACACAACTTGTTGGATAAAAATCATATCCAACTACAAATCATGTGAGATCCTACATATATCATCAGTAATATCCATACCTATGGGGTAATTTTTTAAAACTCAATTTCAGGGCAGAAATGGTAAGGGCACTATTTATGTGTGGGCAACAGGAAATGGTGGTGTCCACGACGACGACTGTGGTTGTGATGGTTACGTGTCCTCACCTTACACTTTATCTGTGGGCAGCATCTCCGATCGTGGCCAGGCTCCTTATTTTGATGAAAAGTGTGCCTCCACCATGACAGTGGTACCTAGTGGGGGGGAGATCAGAGCTGGGGAATTCGGTGGAAAACCCAAAATTAAAGTGGTTGGTATATAAATATCACTGCGGTTTAGTAAGACAGGATCATGTAAAGTTATTAGTGTATGTAGCACAAAGTTCAATATATATATGAGCAAAAGCTGTTGCTTATTTTGATGATGTTAATATTCAGACTCTGCAAAGATACCAGATAAAAACCTACTTAATCTTTGATATTTTACTCACTTAGTTTCTTCAATCAAGACAAATACACACATACTTCAAAGAAAGATAACTCTTATCAGGTTTTACAATTTTTTCACCTCTCATTTCTATGATTCACCCATCAAAATCAAACAAACCTCAAAAATTGTTACTATTCCTGATTTAGAGGCTGTCCAAAGTATTTTTTTATTTTCTTCAAATTAAAATAGATGAAATGTGAATCAGATCTAAATGATTGATTAACAATGACAGGTGACCACAGACATTAATGGGGGCTGTATCCTGGGATTTGAGGGGACATCTGCTGCCGCCCCCCTGGCTGCTGCCTGTACCGCCCTGGCCCTAGAGGCAAAGTAAGAATCTCTAGTTACAGAAAAATTTTAATTAAAGACCTTTTCATTATATAAATGTCCTTTTTGTAAAACATAAATAAAACGAAACTTCAGAGAAGAAAATATATAAATTGGATTTGAGATTTGTGTTGTTTGATGAATGATGTTAAGATATAATTTTAAAAAGTTATATTTTTTGTTAAACAAGCTGCTAAATGGCTGATGAAATAATGTAACATATATCCACTTAACATAAATGGTTTGTTTAACAGCCCTGATTTGACATGGAGAGATATGCAGCACATTGTCGTGGAGACCGCTAAGATCCCCTCCGTGGACCACACCTGGATTGTTAACGGGGCAGGGAAACATGTCAGCCACTCCTTTGGGTTTGGAGTGATGGACTGCGGGGCTATGGTGAATGCTGCCTTAAACTGGCAGACCGTCCCAGATCTCAAGATCCAGAAGTCTCAGGTGTATGAGATCAACAGGTGGGTATCTTTATTGTCCTTGTTTTGTTCATTACTTTATCCCATTTCTTTAATATTAAATGGTGAATTCCCAACTACAATATTATTACATGAATCTATTCAAAAATTGATAGTTATTGGTGAAGTACTTGAAATATATTCTGATAATTTAAAGCTAGCTTCATTCAGCACCATGAAACAAAACTCTTATTAAATATTTCCCGCTAATTATAACTGAATATTTGGTTTTCCAGGCCCATACCCACCAGGGACTGTGTAACGAGAACAGTACAATACGTCCCTGAGGGATCTCCCATAATTCAGTTGGAACACGTCCAGCTGTACGTCAAATTACAGCACACTCGCCGTGGTGATGTGCAGATTTATCTGACCTCTCCCAGTAAAACCGAGTCAGAAATGTTGTCCACCAGGACGAATGATGAGTCTAAGGACGGTATTGACTTTACATTTATGACGGTCCACAAATGGGGGGAGAATCCCGCAGGAAACTGGGGAGTCAAAGTGTGTGATAATCGCAAATCAACCACAGAAAATACAGGAAAACTGGAAAAGTAAGTTTGATGTATTTTGGAAAACAGAAATGTATGCAAGCAAATTCATTGATGTTCAGAACTACAAGAAAAAAAATTACAGTTCATAAAGGAATCATCCTCTATTTCATTGTTGATCATTTTGCAAGATATTTTTGCACTTGTACTTATGAGTCTTATGCTAAAAAAATTTTTTTTGAAAAATGATTCAGGAAAAAGCTTATTATGGTTGAAATGATTGTCATTGTCTCAAAGTAGAGAAATCCTTTTAGAAAGGAAAATTTATGCTACTTGTTGTGCAATTTAAAGACCATTTTTGTGGTCCTAGGAAGTTAATTTTGAATATGTTTTATTTAATGACACAACTGACAGAAAATTTTTCATGGGAACTCCTTGTATAATTTTCAGATTCCAGGTAATCTATTATGGAACTACAGAGAGACCAGCAACTCGTAGTACAGGAAACCAGCAATCTCACAAACTGCCCCTGGCAACGGTAGAGGAGATAGAGAAGACAGAATTACTGAAATCACGGAACCTAAAGCTCAAAAGAAACACGGGAGACAAAAAGAAAAAGGCCTACCAGGAACAGGATGTCAACACTGAAAAAGAGAGGGCTTTTGACATTGATTTCGGGGAAGAGAAGCTGGATGGGCAACTGGAAGATCGAGAGTTTGAGAGCCAGAAGGAGAGGAAGAGTGAGCTATATAAGAAGTTGTTGGAAGACCTAGAGGAAATGCTGGAGGGTAGGAGTGAGGAGGAGGAAGACCAGTACAGGGAGGAAAAACGAGGGAGGGACAAGACTCAGGAACTACTGGACGAAATTGACCGAGTTCTTAAAAATAATGAGTAACCATGATAGCCTTTTGTTCACGTCTTCAATAGGAGTGGTTAGTCAGTGTTATGTTTAACAATATAAAAAGATCTGGTCATCTCATAAGCTGATTTTGATTTATTTTGTCATTTTGAAGTGTTTAGATTTATTTTCAATTCAAAATTCAGATCTTTGGAAATATTTTCAATTAAAAATTCAGATTTTTGTAAAACCAGCTTATTTTAAGAATCTCCATGTATATTGATCTTTGTTAAGAAGTTGAGGAAGCATAGTGGATATGAATAAGGTTAATAACATGACAGAAAAGAATGTAGATTTTTCCAATGGAAATAAATATATAGCAAATGCAAAACATCAGTTGATTATAAACTTAATTTGAAATACCTTTACTGACTGACCTCTCCTACACTTGTTGATGATGGCTATATTTGGCTCTTATTGATGAGGAACACTTTTGAAAAAGCAATAATTTCTGAGAATATACTCATGGGAACTGGTTTCTGCTTTACACAACACTCAATTCTACGCAGCTTTACTAATGTTTAATTACTCCTGAGGCCCATCTTTCTTCATTTCCTGAAATATATTGAGTTTTGTAGGAGGGTTTTTGAATCTCAACAATTGGCTTCTGTTATTTAGCCAGTTTTTTTCTGACTACAATAATTTTCAAAATCCTGTGTTTTGTTTTATATAACTATAAGTTATAAAGAAAGAAAACACATTTTAAAGACAGGGTATTATAAGTGTTGATGGATTATTTTCTATCATTTGTTCAAAAAATTTATTTGATTACATATAATGTTTTGTATTTTTTTTTAAATTTGCAGAATTAAAATCTATGCATTGAAATCCAAATTTGTTGATAATATAGTTTGATACTTTTATTTATTGAAATCTCGTTATTTTGTTCTTAAGTTTATTTGATATAATTTAATTTTGATTCATTTTTGTATAGATATAGTGAACACATTGAAGTCCAGATTTGTTGACTATATTTCTTACTATTTTGTTTTCTTACTAAATTGTTACTATATTTCTTGAAATCCTGTTATTTTGTACATCCCACCTTCTGAAATCCATTTTGTATTTTTATTTAAAGTTTCGTTAAACTTTAATTTACATATTTGAAATCCAAGATTTGTTGATGATGCTATTTCTTGAAATCCTTTATTTGTCTATAACTGATGAATTTAATAATTTTTGGATTTTTTTTTTTTTTTTGCGGAAAGCAGTTGTTATAAAAAATTCCTACCACCCATTCTAATTTAAAAAATATAACAGAATTTTGAAATGTTAGTCTTGTTTAACTGGTGATTCAGGTAGAACACATATCCAGACAAAACTAGGAACCAAAGCTTTGTTATTTTGAATATACATATATTTACAAATATTTATTTCTTATTGTTATATTTTTTGTTAAATCTTTGATTGAAATTTCATCTTTGTTAAAAGTCTGTTATGTAATTTTGAAATATTTGTGAATAAACTTTCACCAACAAATTTTTTTCAGGTCTCAGAAATACATGTTCTTTGTTTTTATTTTAAGTCATTTGAATGACAGAAACATGAGGTACATGTATATATGTATCTATAAGTGATTAAACTCATAGATGGAGGATATGATAAGAACAGTATATCAAAGTCCATAAAACAATACAAAATAGGAGCAGAGCAAACAAGGACCTCCAAAACATCAGAGGTGGGATCAGGTGCCATGGAGGAGTGAGCATCCCCTGCTGACCGCTCACACCAGCTGTGTGCTCCTTGTCATGATTGGGAAATAAAAGAAAAATCCTTCTTCAATACAGTGTATAAATAATGGACTAACAATTAGTATGAAAAACGTCAGTCAGCATTTGACTCGATGATAAATTGTATTTGTAGATCTTGTGAACAATACAAATAGTGGACAAGGCAAATACAGAAATTCTTGTAAACATGTAAATGAGGAAAAATCCTGTCAACAAGTCTCAGCTGCTTAAAATAGTCTTGATTTGATCAGGTAAAAGGAGTAATTTGTGGTCAAAATTAATGTAAAAAACAATAAAATAACAATTAGTTGTGAAACTTTTCTCAAAAATGCACAGCCTAATGATAGGGTTGTGTATGTATTAATTTTGTATCAATGTCATTATGCTATGCATAGAATTTGCAAAATACTGACTAAATGAGATCCTTAAACTCAGTGTATTATTAACTTTTTTATCTGTCTCAGAAACAATTGATCTGAGGTGTGGTGTAAATCTGATTGTGATACATAAAAACTCTGAAGAATTTTCGGAAATTTTGAAATCACATCATTTAACTAAAATTATGCGACCTTCAAACATTTAAACAACCATTCCCACGATAAATCAAAGTCCAGATTTTTGAAATATACGGCTGGGTTTTTTTTAAAATAAAAATGGAACTCGTAAATAATCCAACCTGGTCATTAGTCATTTGCAAAGTTATTTTGTATTTTAAAAAAAGATTTTACCCACAAGTACCCCCAAAACTGATATCAAAAAGTTTCAATTTTCTGATTGATGATATCCACGTACCTTTTGGATATCAAGTCTCTAACAGTCTATTGTTTATTGTTCCAATTATACCTCATTAAGACCCATTATATAAATTGTATTTTAGAAGAAGTTGGATTCAATTCTACAAGTGGTAATCGAACTTATAGTTCCCTTTCTAAAAAAGAAATTCTTCAAATTATATGCCAGTTTTGAATATTTTTAATATCCCAAACAACCGAAATGAATTTAAACTATCATATCTACTGTACGAGGGTTGTTAGAAAAGTTCGCGGACACATTGAATTACGGAATATCTATTGTGTACTGAGAAGTATGATCTATGTCTGAATAAATTCCTACATTTTGTTTATTAGTATGTAAAATACCAGGTCCATTTACTAAAATCTTGAAAATTTACAACGATTTTTACTATGAGGTTATAGGATTCACGGAGCAATCACTTGACGTAAGCCGTCGTGAAACCAGATTTATAGCTTTGTCGCAGTTCTATAAATCTTTCTTCAGATTTTTCTTACATTTTTCTAGTTTAAAATTGAATATCTATATCAAGACATGTTACTTTTTCTACTATAATGTCTTTTGTACTAATTCGGATTGCACTGATTAGGATATTATTGAGATCTTTAAAATGCCTATACAGTAAATTGATCAGGTATGGAAACTAAGCAAAACCATATAGGCACAACGTCCATGTGATAAGGGGGTACTGAAGTATCGATGGAGTTAATCATTCAAAATGTTAATCCTCCCATTTATATAAAGCTACAACCATTTGAAAACTTTTGTCCTTTGTATGTGTAGGAAATTCCCAGCAGTATCTGGAACATTTTAATCTATTTTGAGAAATTTTACTGTCTGCACATAATTTTTACGTAGTGCAGTGCTCCATGACGCTCAATGACGTTCCGATTTTTGGCTGTGTTTTTACGCGTTGATCATTTATAAATGGTTATAAAACAGTCATATACCCTCCAAGTTAATTCAAAATTTCTCCCAGTGACGTTTAATGAAGACTTTAGCGACAGGTAAAATATTATAAATCTCTTTGCGCTACAATTGTGCAATTTTTAATTTTAATAAAGAGTTTTTGTGATGTAAACGTGCCAAAATGTAGCATGCTCCGTACTAAATAAAAAAGCTGTATATTTTCCAATGATCACAGAGAGCACCAAACTTTTGTATATTTATTGGAAAATAGTTTAAGATTTTAACTGGAAAGTTTGACCGTTTCTTGGAAATAGCGCGCTCACAATAGATCTTGTCCGCGAACTTTTCTAACACCCCTCGTATATTGGATTCCGAAACTTCATAAAAATCCTTACAAAGAATGATACATAGCGGGGTCCAGTAAATGTTCAACCAAGCCTTCTTTACTCATCACTACGATATTAACAGTAGTAAAGGAGAACCTTCAAGAGAACTTTGCAACAATATATTTGAGAAGTGGTCTAAGTCAGATTTGGATACTTAAAAATTCAAAGGAACTTTTGGGCAATTTGAAATCATGAGATTTGATCAAAATAAACAGCTTAAAAACTTACGACTTTTCAACTTTATACACAACCATTCCTCACAATAAATTAAACTCCAGGCTTTTTCATATCATGGACAGCTGCTTTTTCAATAAAAATGGAACTCGTAAATTTACATACTGTACATGTACATTATCATAGGCCATTTGCAAAATTATTTTGTTTAAAAACATTCTGATTGTACACAATTACCCTGAAGTTGACATCAAAAAGATGCTTGAGTTTCTGATTGACAGTATCTATGTGGTTTTTAGAGACCACATCTTCCAGCAATTTAATTTATTGGAATTCCCATGACTACCAATTGCGCTCCGTTACTAGCAGACCTATTTCTGTATTCATATGAAGCAAAATTTGTGCAAAATCTTATTCACGAAAAGGAGAAAACACTTGCTTGGCCTTCAACTCGATATTTCGATATATCGACGACGTATTGTCAATAACAACGGTTATTTCCATTTTTATGTTGATACGATATATCCCGGTGAGCTTGAGATAAAAGATACCACAGAGTCTGACACATCTGTTTCATATTTGGATATTTAACTTGAATTTACACACTGAATTGACGACGGCTTTTTCCATTATTTCTTGATCATGACAAGGAGCACACGGCGAGTGTGACCAGTCGGCAGGGGATGCTAACTCTTCTGTGGTACCGGATCCCACCTCTGATTTTTCGGAGGTCTGTGTTTGCTCTGCTCCTGTTTTCTATATTGTTAAATGGATTTTCAGCTTGAATACTCTCCGTTATCTCCATATATTTCACACTACATGCAAGCTAGTGATATTAAGATATTGCTGCACCGATATCCACGGGAAGTTGGCAATGGAAAAGGTTTATCATAAAGTGTAGTTGTTTATTACAGTCTAGATGGTCATTTACGCCTTAAACATGCATAAATGAAATTGATGTTGCAGACACTGCGGAGTCTTTTATTTGGAGTTAATAGAAATTTATAAAGTCAAAATAGAAATAAAATATAAACAGTTGGTGTATGGAAATTGTGTCAATCCCATCAGAAAATCATTATTTTTAACCATTTTTACTTCCAACTCAAACAATTATGTGATGAAATTACAAGAAAGTCATACAGATATCAAACAAGGATCATGTAGAAAAATGATAAAAACATTGCACTTGCATACTTCTTGTCCTAGGCTTTGTTGAATTTTTTTGTTTTTAGATATTTCAAAATCTCAAAATCATCATCGTCTTGAAAACATCGTTCACATACCTAAATGATGCATTTATGGCCACAACAAGAGATTTCTTCTTTACAACTAAAATGGATTTATTTTGCTTCATTTGAATAGAAAAAATACAAATACAGAATACAAATACTTCTCATTGCAATTTCAAGTGATTTTTGGAAGACCAGGCCCAGAATCATGAAATTTCTAAAGCTTACATCAAAACACTCATTCTGTACTAACATTTTGATTTGTCAAGTAGACAAAAATTAAAATAAATTTTTTAACATTACTTTACTAAAGTGTTGTTATCTGCAAAATTAGAAATTCGTTCAATAATTAATAAACATTTCACAAGCGATTTAAAATTTGACTTAAGTCTAAGTCTGTTTTATGATCCTGGGCTTGGTCTCCAAAAACTCCAACGATATTGTAAAGGGAACCTACCCCTTTAACAAATAGTAGAGTACTTGTGTGCAGAATCAGAATGATTTCCAACAATGTAT